CGGCCGCTCCGCCCCCAGGCAGCCCGGGCCCGCCAGCAATCCCTCTCGAATGGAGATCCTAGACGAGTTCGACAGCGAGTTTCCCCAGAGCGTGACCTTCTGCCAGCTCATCTCCGAGGAGGACTTCGAGAGGCAGGCTGCCACCCACACCGAGCGCTCCCTGCGCCGCCTCTTCCGCAGCCTGGACCGCAACCCCGCACTGGCGGAGAGGGTGGTGCGCAAGGGCAAGCAGACCGAATGCGAGCGCCGCGGGCTCCTCTCCTTCCTTTGGGTGCGGCCGCCGGGGCGCGTGGCTAGGAGGGCGGGAGCCGTCGCTTCTCTGGGCTGCAGTTCCCCGGGCGGATCTCGGAATGCACCGTCCGGCCCTTCTAGGGCTCCAGGACAGGTCTTCCAGAAGCTGGAGGCTGCCCGGCCCGGGGGAGCCTGTAGGCATCTCACGCCTCTGGCTCTCTCCAGCCCTGCCTCTGCTGTGGTTTGCAGGCGAAGTTCTTCCGTGCCTTCCAGGGGGAGCTGAACCATTGCAACAGCATGGGTGCCTTAGAGATGCACCAGCGCTTGGAGCAGCTGAAGAGGAGCATCCACCGCGTGCACCTGTACTCCCAGGGTGAGGTTCGACCTCTGCCAGGCGCGGGACCCTGGAGTCTGAGCCCAGGACGGCTGCGGGCCGAGTGACGGCTCAGGTCTACTTTAAGTGCTCACTCCCACTGTCCCCAGCGTTTGCTATCCAGAGCAGGAAGGGGGCCTGGGCAGGCTGGACCAGGGAGAGAATGGCTGCTGACAGCCCAGCGCGGTAGTAGGACATCTGCTGTCATCCCGGATCCGTACGGAAGATCGGGGTACATTTCCTAGCTGAGTCGTCCATGCTGGGTGTGCACGCAAACCTGTGATCCTCCTTAGAAGGGAAGGCTAGGGGAAGGATCACTGCGTGAGACCCGGTTGAATGTGCTTGTGTCTCACTGTCTCTCTCACGTGAATTAAATACATCAACTTGCGACCAGCAGATGGCGTAATGGCTACGTCGCTGGACTCCCATGTAGTCGACTATGGTTCGAATCCCAGGCCTGGCGGCTTAAAAGTCATGCCGGCCCTGTGTGCTTGTGTAACCAAGATCCCAAGAGGAGAGGAGAATGGAGAAGGGATTGCAGCATGGCCATCCCCCCCGGGGGTGATTTTTGCTTCTTCTCTCTGTCTCTCCAGCAAGCACACATGCCCTATAGCAAAACTCTTTCTTAAAAAAAAAAAAAAAATACATCAACTTAAAAAAGTAGAAGAGGGCCCAGCAGTTTGCATAATGGCTATGTCGCTGACTGCCATGTAGTCAACCGTGGTTCAAGTCCTGGACCCGGTGGCTTAAAACTCACACCGGGTGCATGTGCATGCGTGCCCAAGGTCCCGAGAGGAGAATGGAGGAGAAGGGATTGCAGCATGGCCATCCCCCTGGGGGGAGGGGGTGTGATTTCTCACTTTCTCTCTCTCGGTCTCTCTCTGTCTTTCTGGTGAGCACAAGCGCCCTGTAGCAAAAACCTCTCCAAAAAAAAGAAAAGAAAAGAAAACCAGAGGTGCTTTCCCTGACTAGGTGAGTTGATTATGAGACTGACTTCAGCTCTGTCCTTTCCTGGCTGTGTGATTTGACCAAATCCGGTAGACTTTCTGAGCCAGAGCGCTCTCCTAACCCTCAGCTTATCTTAGAGTGGAGGTAGGGTGAAGGGCTGCAAGCTGCTCCTGACTCAGGTAACCCAACCCGGGTTGGCCATGTGGCTCCCAGCGCTGAAGTTCCGCCCCCTGGTGCCTGCACCGCCAAGGCTGGCCTCCTTGCCTCTATTTTACATCTTCCTCCTGTATCCAATGAGTTTGCTGTTTCCACTGTTCACAGTTGTAGAATACCGGGACCAGCAGATGGCCCCAATAGTTACGTCGCTGGACTCCTACACAGCTGACTGTGGTTCGCATCCCAGACCCAGTGTCTTAAAACTCACACCGGGTGCGTGTGCGTGTGCGCCCAGGATGCCGAGAGGAGAATGGAGGAGAAGGGATTGCATTGTGACCATCCTCCCTGTGGGGGGTGATTTCTCGCTTTCTGTCTCTCTGTCTCTCCGGTGAGCACACATGCCCTATAGCAAAAATATTTTTAAAAAATAAAAAAAGTTGGAGACTACCCACAAAGTGGGTGTTAGAGAGCCCCTCACGTGGCCTACCGCCAGAAACTGCACATCTCTTTGTCTGTAATGAGAGTCACACCACCCAGCACGGACCTTGGGGCTGAGAGCCTGGGCTTAAGGCAACACAGACCCAGGTCCAGACCAGGCTCCATGGCTTACTCTGTGACTGTGTGTGTGGGTAACGTCTTCTGGAAGACTGGATAAATTACAGCAGCTGCCTCCAGTTGTGTGTGTGTGTGTGTGTGTGTGTGCGTGTGTGCTACAGATGGGGCAGTCTGGCCTGGAAACGAAACGGTGATGTGGAGAACTCAACCCTCAGCACCCCAGGTGAGCTGGGCCACCCTATGTGATGCAGAGGGAAGTAGCTCCGCCTCTACCTGAAGTAGCTCCGCCCCTACCGGAAGTAGCGAATCCCTGAATCCAGACAAGGCCTTAGAGTGACCTAGGTGGGGACAGAGCCACACCACCGGCAGACGCTAACGACAGATACAAACCCACAAAAATGGGACACCCACAGGGCTAGCCGATGGCATAGTAGTTATGTTATGGACTCCCACATGGTCCTCCACAGTTCGAGTCCAGGACCCGGTGGGTTGAAACTCATGCCGGACATGTGTGTTTATGTGCCCAAGATCCCAGGAGGAGAAGGGATTGTGGCGTGGCCATTCACCCGGGGGGTAATTTCTCACTTTCCCTTTCACTGTTTCTGTCCTCTCTCTCTCTTTGGTGAGCACTCACACTCTAAGGCAAAAACCTCTTAAAAAACAGAAAGGAAGGGACCAGCAGTTGGCGTAATGTCTATGTCGCTGGACTCCCATGTAGTCGATTGCAGTTCAAGTCCTGGACCTGGTGACTTACACTCACGCTGGGCACGTGTGCATGCGTGCCCAAGATCCCGAGAGGAGAATGGAGAAGACGAGATTGCGGTGTGGCCATTCCCCCCCGCCCCCGGGGAATGATTTCTCACTTTCTCTGTCTTTCTGGCAACCGCACACACCCTATACCAAAAACCTCTCTAATTAATTAATTAATTAAAAGGAGGGCCCACCGATGGTATGGTAGTTACAGTGTGGCTCCTACATGGCCAGGAGCAGTTCAAGTCCAGGACCTGTCAGTTTTCTCAGTTTCCCACTCTCTTTCTGATCAATTTACAAAATGAGTGATAAGGGGCTGGCAGGTGGTCTGGTGGTTAAAGGTGTTGGATTCCCACATGGCAGACCACGGTTTGAGTCCCGAACCTGACAACTTACATTCTCT